CTATGTCACACGACTTATTTATCGTTGTAGTAATCCGTCCGAAAGCGGAAAGCTCCTCTTAAAGATCATTTCCAATCATGGTCCTGGCACAGCTTTTATCTCCCAGTTGGACTCGAACTGGCAACCTTGCGATTATGACCTCCGGAGCGCTAACCACTGCGCTATCGACCCAGAGGTCTGATCAAGATTTAAAATTACCGGAACTTGAAGTAAATATATCTACCAAAGATACTGAGGATGAAGATGATAATAAGAAATCTTCTGATGATGATAACTCTAAGAATGAGCGTTCCTTCAATAACAATGAAGATAATCTAGGGTTCTGTGGTTTTTCTGATGATGAAGATAAAGGTTATTATTATGATTTAAATACTGGTGAAACTTATACAAAATCAGAACATCATTATTCAATTTGTGCATATTAATAATATAATAAATAAAAATTTATTTCACAGAAAAATAATTAAGACTTTGCTAGTTATATATTACAGTTTTGGTCAGATACACATAAAAATAAAAAATGGTGAGCCCACTGGACCCCTTTTTTTATTTCATAAAAAATTGCTGAAACAGTATACAAATAAAAAATATATATCGCTATTATAAGTGCGAATACAAATAAAAAAAAATCTAAATAATTTGTGTTTCTGATCCTGGTAATTGTTCTACAAGTACATGAATAATATTTTGATTAGGATTATTACTGAAAAGAGTATAAAGATTAGTATGAGGATGCATATTCACATATTCTCCTTGGGGGTGAAATATAAGAAACTGGCAAGGTGTGCTAGTTGCATCAGATAGTAATAGGAACAAACAGGCTTGAACTTGAGTTTCTAATGATTCAACTTCACTTCCATTAGAAACTTTGATTTTAAAAAAATGATATGATAAGCAGAGCATGATGAGACAATTAAAATAAATATTGATATAATCATTCTTCTTAGAGGCTTCAGATTGCTAGTCTTGGGGGTAGTGCTATCATTAGTGCTTATTTTTCGTTCCTAAATACAAAAAATAGTAAGTAAAAATTCATTCTCATAACCTTGGTTAAATGAAATAACAAAATTACTTTAAAAATAAATTATGGGCAGGTAAATCAAAAAAAAATATATATGAGCAAAAATAACGTTATTGCTAACTTATCTTAAGGTGGGAACTCGCTCATTTTTATACTATTCAGTACACTAGATCTAAAAAATAAAATACATTAGTAATTACGTTACCCAAGTCTAATGCCAGTTTTTTCTCCAAAAAGCAACTCTGAGCAGTCATAAGTTCCAAATACTGAGTCTATTTTGTTATTTTTTCTTGTAAAATTAAGCTCCTTAGATTCGACGATCGCTTAAGGTGGGTTTAGAGTTGACGATCTGGGAATTCCAAGTTCTTGCAACATATAAATTTGGACCAAACTACTGATAAAGAACATTATACTCATTACCCTTATAGCCTTTTTAGGATGCAAAACATCTCCTATTTCGCAAAGTCCCATTCTTATCGCGGGATCATATATAAAGGTCTAATTATTCGTAAAATTGGTTAACAGTTAAAAAATCAATTTTAGGAAAAAATTATGCATTAAGGTAACATTGTTTAAAGTTTAATGCAGACCATTGATTATTAAAGCAGGTCAAGGTTTTATCACTCATTCGAAATTGCCTTCTCACAATACTTGAGGAAAAAAAAATCACTATTTTAGCTTTGACCTAGACCAAAATAAAAGCGATCCCATGGGTCCATTAACTTGCATTATACAATGTAACACAATACATACATGATTTATTTTTTCCAGCATGAATATTCTAGTAATGCTAGATGTTTGATCAACATGTTTGTTAAACAGCTAACAGTTATTCTAAATTTGTAAAATAGACTTAAATAGTGTATAAAATTCTCATCGTACTCCATATAACTATACCTGTTTAACTAGTTATTAATGATCTAATCCCAAATATAGAAAACGTGTGATTGTTGGCATGTTTAATAATTGTGGTGTCGAATATAGTAAATATGTAATTGTTTGTTAGCATAAAATTGTCATGTTAAATTATTATGGTGCAGAATAAGAATTGTTAGTTGACTCATGTTGAATTATCGTAATGCTGAGTCAATTTATATCATATATACTGCTTCGTGTCAAAAATTTTATGTACTGAAATTTATAATAAAAGGGTCATCTCTACTACAAAGTTCGGTTCCGAATTTGTTAGTTTTCAAAAGAACATCTTGTCCTTTTTTTATTTTTATAAAATTACTTACTGTATTATTACTATGTTATCGCCAAATATTTTATTATCGAAAGCCTCCAAAAGGAACTTATATAAAAAAGAACTATATATTATAAAAAAGGCCAAAGTTAAAGACCCAGACTATTTGATCGTTGAAGAGGGTCCTAGTTACAATGTTGAAACTAGTCATATCGAAAAAATAAACATATTTTATGATCTTCAGAAAGTAAGCTAATTGATTTTTTATATAAGCATATATTTCTATAAGGTATTCTACCTTTCAAAGTTTCTAAGGCATGATCGACATTCTTCTATGTGAGGCATATGCAAGATGAGAAAGGTCCAACAAACTTCTCAGGTTTTAAACCACCAGTCTACACCATGTAGAATGATATGAATGTATCCACTTGGATGAATGGATAGAATTAATATATTTTTTTAAAACTATTTATTATTTTTTCATCATAAACTGACTTATTTTTTTATTTTGGTCAAGCATAAAACCCAAGGAATGACACGTCTGTTCACAAAGGAGCAATTTCAAAAATATATCCAATATCTGTGAATATCTGAAGATTTTTTGGCGAGAGATCTTAAATCGACTAATTATTCACAATCTTCTGTATTTATGAGTCCAAAATTCACATTTTTTGAGAAGCTTTTAGAAAAAAAACGGCAAAGAGAGGATCAACTTTATATTAATACAAAACTGGTGATGAATAAAATTTTACCACCCCAAAATGTCCAATCAATCTTATCCTATTCTGAAGTACCTACAGAATTTCTAAACTTACTAGAGTTAGAGATTTTTAATAAATTGTATTCTAATAATATTTTTAACACCAATTCAACATGTAAACAATGAATGGAATTTGCAAGATAGGCACACTTTACAACCTTTAAAACTTACTACAAACAGTTTAAATGGCATTGTCATCATCTTTGGGAAAAAATATTACATGCACATAATTAGCAGACAAAGGCTCAGAAAAAACCTCTAGAGCATTATATTATTTATAAGGCATTTTAACAAAACTCAAAAGAAAAGCTTAATCTTGCAGACAAAACAACAAAAAAAGTTATGTGTAGCATTAACCTTAGTGGATATAGACATGTTCTCAAGCCTCAATGTCCTAAAAATACATTGGGTGAAATGATAATAGATTTTTATACCCTTCCAAATCCTGTGGTAGCAGAAAATGCCAAAGCAGTAGTAGATCATTATTATTAACACACTCGCCATAACCCACTACACCAATCTAAAGAATTTGCCAAACAAATGATGAAGACTTTTGGTGCTTTCATGAGTAGCAATAATGAACCATATACCATAGTAAATATGGCATCCTCACACCACCAAAATCATCAAAAATGTGTTAATGATCTAATCCAAGGCCTCCAACCATTATCCAATGCTATTAATAATTATTTTCAGGTGGCATATCCAACCTTATATGCAAAGAAGAAAAGATTGAATCTTGGTCCAAATGTTCCTAAGTCATTCAGGATCTTCCCTACTATGGCAATTAACTTTAATGCTATTTGCCAGTTCCATCAGGATCTAAAAGACCACCACAATTCACTTTGTGTAGTGTGCCCACTTGGAGTATTTGAGAGTGGACAATTGGTATTTCCTAAACTTAAATTAGCTTTTCATATTAAACAGGGCCAGATAGTTGCCTTCCGATCCAATATCCTGGTTCATAGAAATCTACCAGTTCTTTCTAGTGTACGACATAGTAACGTTTTTTCATTCATTCAACAATGATCAAGCAAAATAGAAAATTCAGCTTCTTATTTAGTAATTCAGATTCGGAAGATAATATGGAAGTAGATATTGATGATAATAATAAAAAAGCAAAGACATCAAAAAAGCTTGTAATATGGGATAGAAAGCATTCTAAATCTTTAAAGTCAGGTTCTCAATTACCAAAAATTAAAAATTCAAAATGAAGCTATCTCAGTAAGTATAATTGCTATGTTAAAAATTCTATGTGGTCATTCTTCAAACTCAATATTTATGTTTGCTTCTACTTATTTAAGATCTTGAACCCACGAGAAGAGGTTTACTAGTGAAATACAAAAATAATTAGTATTAGATTGTAATATAATGTAATTGAGTAATATTCCAACTAACTTTTTGCCTCTGGCTCAAAGCTCATGTATTGGGATATTTTTTACATAATTTTGTCATTTTATATTGACTTCGAATACACAAAATTTAAATTGAAATTATACTATATATAAAGTTGATAAAATCACGTAATATATTATAAGTCTTATAATCATTATAGGTCCTTAAATCACTATATATTATTAAATATAGCAAACATCAGTATTTCATTTATCCTTGATAAAAAAGCTAAATCACAAAAACTTATTAATAATAGATCAGAATATGATATGAAATATGTCAACTCATATATTCTGAATTATTATAATATTAATGATTATCAATAATTCTTTGAAGAACTCTTTGATTCTGAAAGACAATATGATACTTTATCAGTTATTCAGCCTAATAAAACTCCATAGCAATGGGCACTCAGAGTTCAAATTCCTTTACAAAAGCTAGTCTCTAAGAGAAAGAGGAGTATATATCATGTACATGCTCTATTTCTAGCATTCGGTAAGGGTAAATTTGTAGATCATAATTACTACCAACCTAGAATTCATAAAACTCATATAGCAATTTGTCTCGATTGTATAAAGCTTATTTAGGTTAATGATGTGAAGCTAAAAAAGAAATTTCATCACACTATAGGTAGATATATAGAAATTCTTGAATCTAAAGACCTGATGCAAGAACATTGAGATCATGATTTTAATAAACCAAAAACTAAAGATGGTTTGTCAAGAATTATTTAAAATGTTTGGAGACAATTTCAAGAAAGAGAGCCATCAAATGCACAACTCACTTGGAACAGCTTAGCAAATGATAATACTCCAGATAATAAGAAATTTCTAGGTTTAACTCAACATAAACTAAAAAATCCTCAGACTCGAGAACAATTTAATCAATGGCATACTAAATGGATTGAATTATATAAAAGCAATCCCATGATGCACAATTCTATTATTAATAGTTAATATAAAGAATATTATATTCCAGTTAATTGGATAGATTCTAAAAAGAGTCAATTGCAAATTAGATTCTGAAAGCAACTTTTAGAAATAGAAGCATAGTATTTAATCAACTTTTTAATTATATTATTTATTCGATTTTTCAGTTTTTTTGGGTTCAGAATTCATAAACTCAGCTGGCAATGCATTTTTTATCTTGTGCTTTTGACGTAACTCTATCTCTTTCTGCAAATCCAGTAGAGTATCGAATCTTAAATGAATTGCTAATGGATCATCTTCTGACCTAGTAAGATCAAATACAATAAATTCATTTTTTAGAAGGTAACTATTAATAACCATTGATGCATTCTTAACATCATTAGTATATCGTCCAATTATTTTGGACACATCCTGATAACTACTGCCCCCATTAAATATAACTAAGTGGGTAAAATTTTCACGAATAATTATCAGGACATGATGATATTTTTGTGTTATGTAAATTGGACTAATATTCTGATGATGCCCATATATGAAGAATGGAATAATTCAGTTTTGGATGGACTCGGGAGCTACACATAAATTCTCAAAAATAATTACAGTACTTCTCTCTGGAAAAAATGATTTTACACTAGGAATTTTTTTAGGTGAAATATATTTAAATCTTATATTTTCATAGTAAGGTGCTTTAGGATTACCTGCAATTACTCCATACATATATCTAACAAATGCCCATTTTGGCTTATCTAGATGAAATCCACAAACTATCAAATCATCACACTTAATATATCGGGATCCTTCTTTTTTACCTTTGTATATATTTTCAGCTTTATCTCCCAGAACAAGATTTCCAACTATATTTGTCTTATCTTTACCACTTATACCAGTAAATACTTTACTGAAAGGCCATGACATTGCTGGATGTCCAACATTTCGAATTGATTTATGTTTATTAGCTTCATCTATATTCATAAGATAAAGTTTCATAGATGGTAGAGTAAAACTCATTTTCTTTGAAAATAAGCTTGATGAGCCATAATCCTTGGTTTGCCCTTCAGGCTTGTTTTGCAATAGTTCTTTCTTTTGATTTTTTTGTATATCAGATGAGTTGGGAACTCGAAGCACTGCTTTCTGGGAATCCATATCTATAATTTCTATAAACTGAATAAAAAATTTTTTTTCCCTAATAATTCACTTTACTTTGTTCATTTATGGTCAGTTTAGGCACATTAGTGCCCTCACTTTGTGAGTATATTCCAGAAAACAAATTGTCAGAGGCAGTCATATGGTAGCTATAATCTGGCTTCGAGTTCAAAAAACGAGAAGGCAGGAGTAGATGAAAAATATTCCTATATATATACCAAATAATTAATATCATTATTATTACAATAATGACAATTTTAATAAAAGAAGAAATCGGATACTTATCATTAACTAAAGCCTCGCTAGTGCATACTGTCTCTTTTATTGTAATATCTTGAATCAAAGACTCCGGATTCTGCTTATTTGTAATATCTTGAATTAATGACTCTGGATTCTGCTTATTTGTAATATCTTGAATCAATGACTTCGAATTCTGATTATTTGTGATAATTGGTAATGTTTTACTTTTAAAATATTTTACAAGACTTTTATGACTCAAAGAGTCACCCTTAAAGGGCCTGCAAAACAATGACCCTTCAGGTCAAAATTCAGATGTATCTCTAGAATTCGATATAAAACTTTGTTCCTCACTTTGCATATTTTTTTCCTCACCTCCCATAACTATTGCAGAGCAATAAGTCTTTGATTCTACAGGATCTAATATATCCTTTGTTTTCTGTAAAACAGAGATTAAAGCAACTAAATACTCAATTTTTTTAATTTTTGAAGCTAATTCATCTTTTGTATTTATTAGTTCATTCTTTATATTTATTAATTCAGACTTGAGAGATATGATCACAGATTCTTTTTTTACTATCTCTTTCTGAGTTGAGAATGCATCCTTCTGAGCTGACGCTAACTTACTTTTTAATATTTTGTTTATTGACTGAAGTGATTTTATTTTTTTCAATCGAATGATATCCTTGGCTTTATATTTAGTATTAGAAATCTGTAATTGGTTAATTTGAGATGTTAAAGTATCTAACTCTGAGCTCAATCACTTAACCTCATTTATAAGCTGGTAGGTATGCTTGAAGAGTTTCTCTTTATCATTATTAGATTGTTTTAGATTACATTGTATATGCTTATTGTCTTTATCTAAGATAGAACATTTATTGGCAAATCGATTGCCACACTCTATAGCAATTTCTCGATCTTGATTTGCACAAGCAAGCTGATTTTCAAGTTCTGTTCGACTAGGCAGATATCGACTAGATGGTATGTCATCTAATTTATTGCCTTCACCTATATCTGACAATATATAAATTTGAGGCATATGTGTTTTAACACTAGCTTTATTGCTATATTACTGAAATAAATATAAAAAATAAATATAATATATTAAATAGAATATACATATTTATTAATGTGATAATTTTAATGTATTAGATAGAATATATGTATTAATTAAATAATATAATCCTATATATTTGATGTATTCTATTTTTATGATATATTTTATAATTTTTATTTTTTTAATATATTTTATTAGATAAAAAACAAAGTAATTACACTTATTAGTATGGTTAAAGTATTTATAAAATCTGATGCACCTTTGTTTTCAGCTCAAGATTATTCATATATAATGCAATGGCGTAATATAAAGCCAAGATACAAAATTTTAAAGAAATTATTAGATAAATATAAAATATTGTCAAAATGGATTTATCAGATCTGGAGAGGAGAAGAAGATAATAGGGTCGCTTGGAATCAACCTAACTCAATTATATGAAATAAATAATATATCTAACCACAAAATACCAGGCTTCAGCAATAATTCATCTAATATAAATAGCTGTAAAGCTAGCTTTCGACTAATGTGAACTACTCTGAAGTTTTACCAGATAAATCAGCAGAGATGAGACGACTAAAGATTCAAAGTTCTACTTCCTTACGTGCAGTAAAAAAAAGTGCCTTTTCTATAGACAATACATTTAAGAGAAAGGCTGATCTTGAAAAATTAATGAAAGATACTGAAAGATTAGCTTCTATGCTCCCATCTTTGTCTCAGTAAGCTGAGAACATCTTTTAACAAGAACTTTACCTGCTTTTAAAGCTATATCAAGCCATTCTTCAGTCATCATGACTCATTTTTCAAGTTTATTACATTTTTTTTTAAGTCTTTCTTACTAGTCAAGCTAGATGAGATAGTAAATACTTGGACCAGATCCTTAGATGTAATAGCATCCTTACTTCGTGAGACTTCTGGAGTCTTGCTAAAAGTTGGAATAATAAAAGACCTACCATGTAATTTTATTTGTAATTGGTTTTTATTCGGATCAAGAATACCTTGAACTTTTCGAATCCATGTCATACTAAACATAACATTGGTTCAGATTCACTATTATCAATACGTATAAAATTTCCAGTAGCTGTAACAGTTTTACCATCCTCATCCTTTATACTGACTGGCACATCTGTAAACCATCCCAATGATTTAGTAATATGTTTAGAGTTACTTTTTATATCAAAGTCAGATGGCTTGTCAGCTTTCCATCTGAGAGCATTAATTGTTGCATCATTCAAGGCTTCAAATTCACTTCTATTATCTAAAAATGATTTAGAAATAGATAAATCGTTTATACTAGCATTTAGGTATTATAGAGCTGAAAACCACTCATCTGATTCTTTTTTCTAAACTATATGAGACTAACACATTTTTCGCATTGCTAATGAAAGCTTAGACAATAACTGATCATATGTTTCAGGGTGGATAGTTGCTAGATCAGAAGAAGGGTTAGCAGAGTTATCAGGTAAGTTTTTATTTACTGGTACTTTTTTTTTTTCAGAATCATCATCGTACCATATATCATTTTCTTTATTATATCTACTATTTTCATTATTAGCTGAAAAGTTATAATTTATTGGTTGAAAAGGATAATATCATTGTGTTCGATTTGATTTGGCTATTGGTTTTTTGGGTTGATTGTTTATATTAAGATAAGATAACATATGTCCAATTTCATCTACTTTCTTCTCTAATCTCATAGAGTTATCTTTTTGTTATGGATGAGATCTTTGAAAAGGTTTTTTAGAATAATTTAAATCTAAATCTTCTTTACTATATATACCTTAATCATTTATGTGTTTAGCTAAATAATAAGTTTCATAATCTTTTTTCGTATTTAAATTTGATAGAGGGGCTCTTGGTTGTCTAACTGGTTCAACGGTTTGTGGAACTGGTGTCTGTGTTTTCTGTGCTTTTGATGATTGAACTTCCTTTCTCAATTTTTCTATCTCAGCATCATAATTGGATTTTTGTTTTGCTAATGTCTCATTAATCATTTTTTGTGTATCAGATATAGGAAATACTGATTGTGGAATTATAGGAGCTTCTATTATTTTGGTGTTATAGGAAGATTATTGAGAAACTTGACCATTCAAATTTGGTGCATGCTCCAGCCATATTTTTTTTAGTTCAGTGAAAAATGCATTAATGCCTGCTGGATTAGCTATTCTCATCCAAGTGTAAAAATTACCCATTAAGTGGCTTTTAAAAAATCCTATAACTTGCATGTCATTGTCTGCCACTCCTAATAATAGTGGCCGAACTCTAGTTTCATAAGTATCTGAAGTATCATAAAGTTGGTATTTTTCTTGAGTCAATCTTTGTATAGCTGATTGCTGATTTCCAACTATCTCCTGTTGGTATTTTGCTCTCATCCAAGCCTGTAATGTATCTGGAGAATTTATAGCTGGATTTCCTACTTCAAGATTATTATTTGCTAGTACTGGAACATATTTTCCACCCATCATAGATTTTAAAATATTACACTTGACTGTATTGACAAAATTTCCTGCATTTGCATTTTCAAGAACTGTCATATGCCCTTCAAGATATGCCCATGATTGAATAACTTTATTTAAGTAATCATCAGGTGGTTCTTGACCTGTATAAGGTGGAAATTTTGCAAAAGCAGGAGCCATTAATTTTAATAATGGTAAACGTCTAGCATCAGCCATGTTTATTTGATTTGGTAAATTATTATAAAGCACCAAAATTTGTTGATTTAAATTTAAAATATTCTGGCACTCTGTATGGATCTTATTTTTCCACTTTTTATATTATTCATATAATCTATTTTGATTATATTCTAGCAAATCTCTATTCCTCCTGCATCGCTATAGATAGTGAGCCTTTTGCAGATACAGTAGTTGAAAGGCAAATTTTTCCTGTAGTAATACATCAATACAGGTTCACTTTTCTGTTATATTGTCTAACATTCTGTTTACTTGATTTTGAGCATTAGTTTGCAACTGCTGAAGATCAAGCAATGCCTAATCTCGCTCCTGCCTGTACGTATCTCATTCCCATCGTATGTTTACCAGATCTTGTTGTAGGTTAGTGTATTTACATCGAATTGATCTTGTTGATCTTTTAATTTAATTTGTTAAAACAGTTCTACATATTGCTGTATTATTTAGAGATCAGTCTATAGCATCAGCTAACTCAGCTATTGTACTTATATCTAAATTTTGATCAAAATTATAAATATCTAAAGAATTTTCATCAGAGTCAGATTCATTTCATTAAAATTCCATGCTTATGCATTTTGTAAAGCCTCTTGAGTATTTATAAGTTCTAATTTATCTTGATATCTCAATAATGCTAATGCAAAATTTTGACAAAGCAGGTCTGTAATGTGATTTTTTTGCTGATTTATTTTATTAATCCTATTTATTTGATTAACCCTTATTGTATTTATTTCTCATTTAAGGCATTCGTTTTCGTCTACTAATCTGGTTGTATAATCTTGTGCTTTAGGCATATTTCTAGCCGATTTAGATATCTCTCATATTTGGGTTTTTAATTTTGTTTCGCGTTCATCGAATTCTGATATTAATCTATCTTTATTAGAAATTTTTTTGTCTTTCCTTTTATTTTCTTTCTTGAGTTGATGAACAATTCTTTTTAATTTTAAAATTTCTTTTATTAATTCTTCTTTCTCTTGTGTAGAGAGTTTGATATTATTATTTAACTCTTTTTCAAGAAATCGTATTCTCTTTTCTTGTATACCTATAACCCTTTCTAAGGTATATAGACATTGTTCAAAATTCCTATTTGATTCCACTAATTGCGATACTACCTCATAGAGTTCTTGATTAGATTGTTGTAACTCTTTCATGTTTTTTATTACTATAATGCTGTTCACTCACAAGTTCGTGCTCAGATATATATTGTTAACTATTTTTTATTATACTATATAATCCTGACAATGAGAAAAATGAATTGGCAGAAAATGGAGAAACCTATGATTTATATTGGCTCACAGAAGGCCCATAATTTGAATAAGGAGATCACATTGCAGAAACTATATTATGAGCCTTAAGGTTATTATCGGACTGCTAAAAAAATGCATGTTGCTTATAGAAATGCTAGTCATAATTTTTTATTAGCAGATATAAAAAACTGGTTAAATGAACAGATAACTTTTTTAGTTCATAAACCTTGACCAAAATTTATTTAATATGCATCTTTTAATAGCATACGAGATTTAAATGAAGTATATAAATCAGATCTTACACCTCTTTCTCGTGATAAAATTGGTAATCAAATTTTCAAACATAGGGGTGTTATAAAAAATGTAGCAACTAGATTTCGTAAAAGTTGTGCTTTAACTAATAAGTCTTTGTATCATTAGCTAAAATGTTTAAAGCAATTTATGAAGATCCTAATATTCATCTTACATGGCCAAAAGTTTTAATTATAGATAAAGGTACTGAATATCTAAGTGAAGTAGAGATTTATTACTTAGTCATAGTGTAAAAATTATACAAGCTAAATCTAAATGTAGTACATCAATAGCTGAACGTGATCACCAAAAATTTAAGAAACATTCCTATATTCATCAAGATGCTGTAGATTTTTTCATTTACTATTATTTGAGAGATGTCAATTTTGGTTAAAGGTCTTCATATTAATAATGATATTTATAATAATACTTCTACCTATTTAATTCATATGTCTCCTAATAAAGCTATAAAAAAAGCTTTAAAGAATGAAAAAATAATTGCTAAACCATCTGTAAAACATCATAGACCTATTGGATTTGATGAATCTCAGTTAACCTATAAAGATTCAGTTTTATATTTACTCGAACCCAGAGAATTGGAATTTGGCAGAAGACGCATAACTGATATGAATTGGTCTTCAAAGGTTTATCACATTAAAGAATCATTAATACAAAAAAATCAACTGGTGTTATACTGGCTTATAGATGAAAATAGAGATGGTTTTGAAAGATCATTTGTAAATGAACAATTGATAAAAGTTGGTAAAGTTGTGTATCCCCCTAAATGGATTCTTAAACAATATTAAATTTCTAAACCATAAATTTTTTGAAGAATTTCATCTACTTGTAATTTTGTTTGCTTTTCTACTTTTCTTCTTGATTAGCTATTTCTAAATATAATTTATATAACTTTTCTAAACTAGTATATATCTCTTCATTGTACTAATCTTTAAAATCTGCTGTTCTTCCATTATAGGTTTTCTCGTTTGGAGCGTATTGCTTTGCTACATATCTAACATGATCTTCTGGATACTTTTTTACTGTAAAGTTTTAAGATAGTTTACATATGATGCTCCTAATTTATCATATTTTTTGGTACCTTGACTATATGCCACTTTAATTACTTCAATTAAAGCTAATTCAATATCTTTATAATTTATCATTTTGAATATTTGTATTTTTTATTATATATTACTTTATTCATATCTTTTGTTTAAATAAAAAATATTTCTTTTACTCATGTCTGGAAAATTTACTTGTGATTATTTGCATAACTCTGATGAAGTTTGTGGTCATTGTTGTCATTGTCCTCAAAAATGCCATAAACATTGAAGATCTAAAAAACACGTCACTTGCAAAGTTTGTGATAAGCCTACTAGTTCTATATCCAAAGCATGTAAAGATCATGCTGGTGGGTTTTATGTCTTGCAATTTTATTCTTGCCAGCTTCGCCTTCTCACAGATACTGTTCAAAGCCAGAATGAAACTTAATCCTACCTTCTCGCATATATGCTTGAAGTCAGAAAAAACTTATGAACAGAAGGTATAAAAATACACCAAAAAATTAGTACTGATTTTAACGATTTTTAGCTTTAAAAACTTGCAGACTGAAGGGTATAAAAACATACCACAATTAGTTACTATTTTTTAAGCCTACTTTCTCATGACTTCATCACTCGAAGTCAGCAAAGAAGTTTTATACAAATAACAATGTGATTAATGAGAGATTTATGTTTGCTTTGTCAGTCAAATGATGAGAGATTTATGTTTGCTTTGTCAGTCAAATGACAAGAGATTTATGTTTGCTTTGTCAGTCAAATGACGAGAGATTTATGTTTGCTTCATATAAAAACACCAAAAAATTAGTATCAATTTTAATGAACTGATGAAAAAAACTCGCAGAAGAGAAAGTGTAAAAACACACAAAAAAGTCTGCTCATGTCCCCTGCTGCTACTTGCCTTTGTGGCAAATTTCATACAAGCTTTACTTCTAAACATTACAAAATTACTTATCCAACAACAATCAGTCAATCTCCAAACCCAACTAAAACTCAAATTAGAAATACTATCTCAGCACAAAGTTTCAAATAATTTGATGAATTATCTGCCTCTCCAATTTCTAATTAATAGACCAAACTCAATTTTCACTTTTTCATCTCCTGCACATGTCCTTTTTCCAAATTTTCAAACAAATCCAGCTTCTACAGCTATAATTGCTCACTCCCAACACTATAATACTTGCTTCCTTTGTAAATTCAAAAATATTCAATGTGTTTTTACAGATAACCAACATAACTATGCACCAGACTATACAGTTGCATGTATTTTTAAAGGCTCTTTAATTCACTGATTCTGCATACCCAAAATTCCAAATATTGAACTTAAACCTTTTTATTGAACTCCATTAAATCCAGATCACAAAAAAATTGTTATTCTTTATAAACTTAGTACTATATTAGCAAAAAACAAAATTCAACTCTATAATTCAATCTTTTCTAAAAAATCTAATTTCTAACAATCTACAAAATAACAAAAACAAAAACAGAACCAAATTATTAGAGATACTTCTAATGACCTTGATTGGTTCAAAAAATATCCAATAACTGAAAATATGAAACATCATATTCGTTTTGACAACAAACTAGCTTTACAAATTTTTGACTTTATCAAACTACATCTTATTAATGTATATTCTGATAAAATCACTGAACAAGCAACTGAAGGCAAACCAGCATCCAAGTTCAACTATATGTATCTAGTTAAAACCTTAGCTGGACTTTGTTCTAAGTTTTTAACAAACCTTATATATGAAAACAATCCATCTATAAATAAATCCTTCTCTATTCCATTTGAATTAATTCACTCAACCTTTATTGCATTACTTAAGAAATTCACTACTACCCTCTTTATTCATCTTAATTATTCTAAAATTTTTGCTTTATATAGCTCAATTCTACCTTATACTACTTCAAACAGAACACAAATTGCACTTAATCTAGCTCGTTTACATCTTATCCTTCATGACAAATACAAAATCATTAATGCAAAAAAATTCAATGAAGATCTTAAACTTTATTCTATTTACTTTAGACTTCACTACAATATTAGTAAAGATAGTGTTAACTAACCTCTCTTTAAAATACAAAACGATAACAAATTCAACATTAATATTTCTCTTAACATACCTAAACAACACTTTCTTCATACATTCCAAATTCTTTCTCTTAATAACTATCTAACAGATTTTAAATTATAGTTTGAAAAATTCTTTAATATTTACAAATGGTAACTTATCAAAATCGATAAACAAAAAACCTTTAATTTTATTAAATATCAAATCATCCTTACACTCTCTAATACATGTAAAGCTCTTTTACCCCAGCAATTCACTATCAACTCTATTGACTCATTACATGAATGTTCTCAACAATGCTTTAAAGCAGCACTTTACCACATTCATACCTGTACTGTAACAAATTGCACTATTCTCTCTAAAAATACTGAACATGATGTTAAAAATCTATCCACTTTTTTCTTTAAAGAATCATTCAAACACTTTTCTGCACCTACTAACTCAGATCCCTCTTCAAGTTCCAAGCCCAAATATCTACATCCAATTTTGAACATCTTCATATTTCAGCATGATAATGATTTTTCTGCTATATTTCAAAAACCTACATCAATTACATATTTACGACAACATGCAGATAAAGCTGAAGAGAAATTCTTGGAAGAAAACAAACTTGACAAAGCAGAAGACTCAGACTACAGTTGTAAAAGTTACTACTTTTACACATACTTCAATGCATATCTAAAAGCAGCTGCTATTAATGACCAAATTGATAATCTTCATCTTTAACAAGCAATTGATAAAATTCATCTAAACCAGTTGATACCCATTACTTAGCCAGAGTAATCACTTATTTTTTTATCCTTAAATCTGTTAACAAACTATTTATTTCATATATTAAAAAAGCTTATAAAGAACGTTTTTATCCAGAAGTAGAGAAAACTTTGCTTTAAAATTCAAAGTACAATTTAAAGCTCCTAAAATTAGTACTAATTTCTTCAAACTCAAATCCAACCCAACTATTACTAAAAATACAGTTAAAGTACCTAACACAATTGAACTAAAAAAAACAAACCAAACTTCATCAAATTCCTCAACAATTGATGATAATGACATAATTATGTCTGACTTCAATACAAACCAAGAACTTTCTAATATTAACCAAGATACTGAAAATCCTATTTCTGAACCAAACATAATCAAACTTCTGCTACTTTACTTTCAACAACCTCTTATTGCTCTTTTCAATAATTTCTTCTGTAGAATTCATAATTGCAGCCACTGCTTCTAAGATAATGATGTCCTCTACATTCAGTAGACCATTCTTAGAAGAGAATAATGTAAGTAGATGGGTGGATAAGTCCATTTACGCGAAGAACCAAGATAACGATGGCCAGACCCAACGTACAGGACAGGCTATAGCACTCTTCGTAGCTGTGAGAACTGAGCTTAAAATGGTAAGTGACTCTACAAAAGATAAACAACCCACATCATTATCAATATTATTAAATTTCTATGATTTGGACACCTGCTATAACAAATTTCTCCAATATTACCATCTTCCTTTATTACATTTTCAACCTAGTATAAAAACTTTTTTCTAACACTTACAACAAATAAATTCTACTCAACTATTAAATACTTCTATGATAACACTAAAAATAGACAAAACTGTAGCCCACATTTATCTACCACATGAGCTTACTATTTTGCCAAATCATTATATTTCTCTTACTACTGATTTTCTCAATATACCTCTTAAATCCCAATCTAATTCCCAAACTGCTAACTTCAATACTAAATTTAAATCACAAAGTAAATACAACACTTCTTTATGCTTTAAAGCTGTAAACACAAACAACATACTCTCTTCTAGATACACAACTACATCTCAGGTCTCTAACTCAATAAATAGAGATTTACAATCCAATTCTTTTATTAAACCTCTTGAGCTATCAATTAGTACT